TATTTTAAATTTCTCTTTCACTCGGCTTTTATTTATCATGTAACAAGAGATTAGTCGACCACTAGAGGTAGATCAGTTGTGTTTGGTCCCTTTGAATGGTTGGCGGGGGTGAAAAAAACCAAGAAGAAACAATTTTCTTTTTTTTCAATATATTGCCCACTAAATATTTATCAAACATAATTTATTTCTAATCAATTTATTATTCAAGTCAATTTTTTTCCTTTTAGTAGAATAATATTTAACTACAGCAAAAATTCGCGCGCTTACGTTGCGCGGCAAACTTTTTGCTTGCTTTTTTTTAAATATAATTAACAACTTTGAAAATAATAGAACGTAAAAATTTTTAATTCAAATTTATTTTCATAAAAAGTAAAATATGAATTGGAAAATAGTTTTAATATTATAACTATATATAATATAATCTATTCTGACACAGGAAATTCAAGGAAAAGTCAGAGATTTTTATTTCATTTTATTAATCGAATTTCTTGAAAAATTTTATTAAAATTCGTCAAAAGAATGCAATTATTTAAAAATTTGTCAGGCAAAATTCTTTATGATTATTCAATATTTCAAGAAACATTCAATTATTCAATAAATTATTTAATCTTGTATCTAAATAATTGAGTTCTCGTATATAGAATTCTCTAATAAAAATTTATTTATATAAATGAATTTCACTTAAAATCAATTATTAGAAATAATGAATATTTATAGAAGAATTTTAGTTAAAAACAATTAAAAAAATTTAATTTTGGAGACGTTTTAAATGATTGCGGAAATTCAATCATTTTTAAAAATTTTAATAAAATTCTTTGCAAAATTTCAATTATTTTCAAAAATTAGAAAAAAATTCTCGTTGAAATTTAAATTATATCTTCGTAAAAAATAAAATCCTTACTCGAAATTTAATTATTTTCAAAAATTTTAATGAAATACTTGTCAAAAATTTCAATTATTTCCGAAAATGTTCCTGAATTCAATGATTTTTATTATTTACTATTTTATTAAAATTTTCCAAAGTAATTTAATTGTTTAAAAACATTTTTATGAAATTTTACTCAAACATTAAATTATTTTCATAAATAGTAAAAATTTTACTAGAATTCAATTATTTAAAAAATTTTTCGCAATAGTTCAATTATTATTTTCATAATAATAATAAAATTCTTTTAGGAATTCAATTATTTCCATGAATTATAAAACTCATCGCAGAATTTCAATTTCAGAATTTCAAATTTCTATTTCAATTTTTAACACAATTTTAATTGAATTTCTCGAAAAATGTAATTATTTCTTAAAAATTTTATTAAAATTATTTGTCAAAAGAATTCAATTATTTAATAAAAAAATTTTCAAATTATTAGCAATAATTCGATTTTTTTGATAAATAATAAAATTATTTTAGCAATTCAATTATTTTCATGAATAATAAAACTTATCGCCCGCGAATTCCAATTATTTTTAATACAATTTTAATTGAATGTCCCGAATAATGTAATTATTCTTGAAAATGTTATTATTTTGACAAAAGAATTCAATTATTTAAAAATTTGGCAGGTAAAATTCTTTATAAGAATTAAATTTTTAAGAAACATTCAATTATTCAATATAAGTAATTTACTTTTGTATTTAAATAATTGAATTCTCGTAGAATTTTTGAATAAAAATTGATTTGAATATGAATTTCAGTTTTAATTTCAGATAATTGAATATGAAAATTATTTTTATAATTTAAAATTATAAATTTAAAAACTAAATTATTATTATAGTTTTTAAGAAGTTACAGTAACATTATTCTTATAATATGAAAAATAATAATTTTAGCACTCGATCCTCTTCATATTTCATAACAATATTTTTAAAGTTGTTTAATTTCAAAATTTGAATTTGAAATTTTTTAAAATCTTAATTCTAGTGGAAAAATAATAATAATTAAACATATATTAAAAAAAGAAGTTGTTTGATGTTTTTGAATAATTTTACAATTAAAGAAATTTGTAAATAAATTTAACTGAAATTTTTTTCCAATAAAATGTTTTCCTTTCTTTTCTAAAAATTCAAAAATTTTCAATTTCATTTTCAATTAAAATTTCTAATTGTCAAAGAGAATTTATAAACATTCTTTTCCTTTATTTTTGAAAAACTGTGAATTTTATTAAAACAATTGTAACTAAGAAATAGAAATGATGTAAATTATTTCCTTATGAAAATTGAAAATTTTCTACAAAAATATTAATAAACAGGAATTTTGAATGTTTTTCTTCCCAAAAGAAAAAAATGAGTTTGTATAAAATATTGTTATTGAGAAATAAAAATTACGCATAAAATGGGTATTTATTTCCTATTTCTTAATCATATTTTTTTTACAAAGTTTCTATTTTTTATAAATAAAATGGAGAAAAATTTGCATAATAATCAGTCAAACGAAATTTGTTATAGAGACAAATATATAATAAACAAAATGGGTGGGGGGAGACTGGAGCTAAATGTTAAATATTAATATGAAATAATTAATTATTAATTAATTCATTAATTATTTAAAATAATAATAATTATATTTATAATAATAATAAAAATAGTCGCTTGTAAAAGCGTGAATAGTGTACTAAAAAGACAAGGGTGTAATTTTATGAATAAATAATAATAATTTGCAGATTGAATAATATTAATATTTATTAATAGAAATAATAATAATTATTATTTTCGTTAATATTATTAATAGTAAATTGATAGTAATAGTATTAATCACAATTAAATACTATCAATAAAAATACACGTGTTTATAATATGTAAATTATTTGCGTAAATAAAAAAAAATATTGAAACGGCCAAAAAGCAGGATCGAATAAAAATGAACGAAACTAGAAGAGAAATAATAATTGAAATACTTTAAACTGAATGAAATTGAAAGTAGAATAGGAAAATATGGATTTATAAGTGAATAAGGAGACATGAGTTTCGTGAGAGATAAGACAATATAATTGTATGCTTCGTGTGGTTTCTGTTATCCTGATATGAGGTCGCACCGCCGCAGCGCCACGCGTCACGGCGAGCACCACCGCAACGCTCGGCGTCCGTACGCCGACAACAACAATAGTATATTTACTGCATACAATTGTCCAGACCAGACAAACGAAATCGCCCTTCTTCCCTTCTCTCTCTCACTCTCACCTTTTCCATCGCCTCTCTGTTTGCGTCATGAATTGCCTGAAAATTATTAAACACAGTTTCCGCATGCGGCCGCGAGTTACGCAAAAGTCAACTACGACAATAATTATAATAGTAACCATATCTCGTCAAGTTTTTGCGCGCACTCGATTGGATTTGAAAATTTTCGTAGGGAAACTTCTTTATCATTGGTTTTTATAGTCTAGAGACATCTGGTGAACGTTCCTTAAAAATCGAGGGGAAGAAATTAATGTCGGTAATATCAACAGTCGGTAAGGTCAATTTCAAGAGTTTCTTTGATTTTAAAAGCGAGAAATTGATTTTACCTACTGTTAGTATTTTTTTCTGTATTTCTTTTGTGCTCTTTTTTTCACAACAAATCATTATTTTTTTTTCATTTTCTGGCTCGTTTAAATTGAATTAATTATTTGAATTAATTTAAATAATTTTATGAATAAATAGAATTAATTACTTAAATTAATTGAATTAATTTAACCTCTTAACTGCCATGGCAAATATTTGACGGACAAAATCTTTGCCATGGCAGTTAAGGGGTTAATTAACAAAATTAATTAACGTATTTAATTAAATTGAATTTTAGTATCAAACGATTTATTTACTTTCGAGTAAAAATCATAATTTTACATGTTTTCCTCTAAATTATCGACTGTAGATTAAATGGAAATCTATTTTTAATTTTATTTAAAATTCAGTTTAAAAAGAATTTGTAGAATTTTTCTACAATGCTTCTGCAAAATAATTCTACAAAAATTCTAGTGAATACTTTTATTGAATTTCTCTAGAATAATTCCCCCAATTTTATTTCTTTGATTTCATACTATAAATAATTATTAATTGCAATTTATTTATTCTTGTAATTTACAATACTGTTCATTATTTTATAACTGAAACGAAACAATTTTCCTATCTTCACTATACTTTTAAGTACTATGCTTGCTTCGTTTCGTTTGTGAGAGAATTTTCATGCCATCTGGACGGCAGTTCAAAGAAATGAATTGGCGCGAAATTCAAAAAAAGAAAAATTAATTAATAGCATTAGAGAGAATTATAATAATTAAAAATTTACAATTAAATGTAATTAGTAATTTATTTATTATTACTTAAATTATAATTAAGTATTACCTAATTTATTATTAATTATCAATTAAAAATTAATATTTTTAATGTATTTTAAATATGTTTATATCTTTAAAAAAAATTTTTACCTATTATTTACTATAATTCGTTAAGAAATCCTATTTGCTTCATTTCGTTTGTGAGAGAATTTTCATGCCCTCTAGGCGACAATTTAAAGAACTGTATTGGCGGGAAATTCAAAAAAGGAAAAATTTAATTAATAGTATATTAATGTTAATAATTATTCATTTACAAATTATTAATAATTAATTAATATCAATAAGAAAAATAATTAATTAATTTGTTAATTAATATCTAATAAAAAAAATAATAAATTAATTAATTTGTTAATTAAAATAAATAAATTAAAAAATTCGTTAACAATAATTTAATAAATATTTGCCATTAAATATAAAAATTGAAAAATATTGTATGGAAAATTAATAATTATTGCTTATAATTATAAAACAACCCAACAATTTGGGTATATAAAATTAATAATAGTATAATTTTTGAAATTAAAATCTCTTTATTTTTTTTATTACATGTACATTTTTCACGGGAAGACATGAAAAAATTTGAATATTCGTTCATAATGTTTTATACAAAAAAAAAATGTCTTATACAGTAAATTAGCTAATTATCATGGCTCATACTAATTGTAAACATATCACAACTTTGGTTTGTTTCAGTTTTCACGATGTTACTATATAACGTGCAAGCTTAACGTATTACAGGTATTTAAATTACTATTTACTATCTAGATTAGTTAAAATTTACATTACATACTTCAATAATTGCGTTAATTTATTTGAAATTGCCGAAATATTTATTTTCCTTTGCAACTTTTTTGCAGAAATAATTAAAATTCGAAGGGTTTTTTTTTGGTGTAAAACTACCAAAAAAATATTTTTTTATAATTAATTTACATTCAATTGGTTTACTGTTAATTTTACTTGGTTTGTTAATTGTAAATTTACTTTTAATTAATCTCATTTAATTTTGATTAATTTAATTAATTTATTTATTAACATTATAATATAATAACCAAAAAAAAAATTATTGTAATATTATAATAACTATTATGCCTCAATTATTGTTACAATTATCATATTATCAAAATTATAATAATAAAAATAATAATAATAATAATAATAATAATAATAATAATAATAATAATAATAATAATAATAATAATAATAATAATAATAATATAATTATAACAATTATGTTTCCTAATTATTATGGCAATTATTATAATTATTTTGTTCAAACTATTCTTTTATTTATTATAATTATAATAATAAAAATAGTAAAAATAAAAATAATAATAATTATTATTATTTTGTTATATTTTTTTTATTATTAACATAATAATAATTACTATTATTTTTACCATTATTATTTATAATTATATATTTTTTATACATATAATTATAATTAATATTACATATATTATTATATTATAATAATATAAATAAATTAATGGAAAATTCAATAATGAATTTAATTAACTGTAAATTTACTTTTGATTAGCAATAAATTCAGTTTGAATGGACAGTAAACTTTTAACTATCTGTAAATTTACTTTAAATTAATTTTGTAAATTAATGTTCTAATTATTTAATAATTTACGACATTATTACACGACATTTAACGAGTGTGTTTCAATTCTCGCATAAAAGTCACAAATAAGTATTTTCAGACGAACTATACATTGAATAGTTTTGCTAATAATACTATCACTTTTTCTGTATTGAATTATTTCAACAAAAAAAAAAATAATAAAATAAAAAAAAATAAAATAAAAAAAATAAAATAAAATAGAAAAAAAATTTAACAGCAGGAAGAAAATTCAAAAAGTGTACTTTGAACTTTCTATAATGCATAATTTGTGCGGCTAAAATAAAATATTTACTTTAAGTGCTGATGCAGCACTAATTTTACATAATATATACTTAATTTAGAACTCTTGAAGAAAAACAAACAAAATCCAATTTTCATGACAAACAATAATATTTTGTTTGGTTAAAGTCAATAATTTTGTTTTAACGTTTATTAGGTTATGAATTTTAATTTTCTTCAAGTTTTCTAATTTTAATTTTTCTTTATTTATATATTCGTGTATTTATATAATATTTTTATATATGAATGTTGTTACAGGGTAAGAATTCCTGAAGTGGGCAACGGATTTTCCAAGGTTTGCAATTTCTATAATAAACTTTATAAAAATAAAGTACGAATAGAGGGACAAACAGTCACCAAGTTTTATTTGAAAATATTTATTTGTTTATTTTTTATAAACAATTTAATTTTAATGTAACATTTTTTTAAAACATTTATATCTCAGAACTGGATTATCGGATTTTGATGAAAATTTTTGGACACAATTAATGAAGATTTCAGCTTTTTAAGGAAAATTATTTCAATGTTGAAAAAAATTATTTATTGTAAAAAATAATTGTTAATAATAAACAAATGAATAATTAATTGTGTTCTGGACCTTTTTCGTAAAATTTTTTTTCAGAAACTTAAACTATATAAATCAAGGATTAAATAACTGAAAGAAAAAGTTGGTAGATCGAAATAGTTTATTAACTGTGAATTTTTTTGTGAGCGCGGTCGCGTTGTTCCGTGCGTCGCGGCTTGACGTGGAGCTCCATAAGTTCATTTCACACTCACCACGAACACCAAGTATTCTTAAAAACTGAAATACAGAATAAGTATCTAAAATTTAAGATTATTAGTAGAATTGTTTTACCACATTATTGTTTATACTAGTGACAATAATATGCCAAAATAATTTTTTCATTCAGGTATGTTTAAGAAATGTAATTTACTTTTAATTAAATAAATTTCACTTTGTTGGTGTTTAACTAGTATTTTTGTTTTAATTTTCTACTAAATTTGTAAATAAATAAAAAATGTTTTAGTTAAAAGTAAAAATTTAAATTTCTGTTATGGAATTTTATCGAAACTGGTAAAATTTCGTCTAAAGTAAAGATTTTAAATTTGCTTATGTTGGATTTATTTTTTTAATATCATCAACGATAATTTGAAGAAAAAAAACTGTTTATTACTCAGAAGACAATATTTTACACTTGGAATGTTTTCAATTTTAATTTTTTGTTCGAGAAACATTGTATAATTTGTTTTATTAATCTAACACAAGGAAATTTGAATTCTCTGCTTTAGACGAAATTTTACCAGTTTCAATAAAAATCCATAACAAAAATTTTAATCTAAAGAAAATTTTTTTACTGTGAACTTTTTACTTATTTAACAAAAACATTTTTTATTTACTTACAAATTTAGTCGAAAATTGAAACAAAAAGACTAGTTAAACACCAACAAAGTGAAATTTATTTAATTGAAAATAAATTACATTTCTTAAAAATACCTTAATAAAATAATTATTTTTACATATTATTGTCACTAGTATAAACAATAATGTGGTAAAATAATTCTACTAATAATCTTAAATTTTAGATAATTATTCTGTATTTCAGTTTTTAAGAATACTCTGTGTTCGTGGTGAGTGTGCAATGAACTTATGGAGCTCCACATCAAGCCGCGTCGCACGGACAATGCGACCGCGCTCACAAAAAAATCCACAGTTAATAAACTATTTCGATCTACCAACTTTTTCTTTCAGTTATATAATCCTTGATTTATATAGTTTAAGGTTCTGAAAAAAAATTTTAGGAAAAAGGTCCAGAACACAATTAATTATTCATTTGTTTATTATTAACAATTATTTTTTACAATAAATAATTTTTTTCAACATTGAAATAATTTTTCTTAAAAAGCTGAAATCTTCATTAATTGTGTCCAAAAATTTTCATCAAAATCCGATAATCCAGTTCTGAGATATAAATGTTTAAAAAAAATGTTACATTAAAATTAAATTGTTTATAAAAAATAAACAAATGAATATTTTCAAATAAAACTTGGTGACTGTTTGTCCCTCTATTAGTACTTTATTTTTATAAAGTTTATTATAGAAATTGCAAACCTTGGAAAATCCGTTGCCCACTTCAGGAATTCTTACCCTACAGTGAATTATAATAATTCACTGTTTTTTTTTTGTACAGAATTCACTTATAGACTATTAGAAAATTGATGAATAAAATTTTTTATGAAAATGAGTATACGATTCAAGACGAAGCGAAATTTCTCGTAAAAATAATAATTTTGATAAAACGAATGAAATAAAATTAAAATTTTTCTAAAATAAATTTATTTGCGTCAAATAAAAGTTTATTTATTTACAGAGTCTATACTAAATTATTTATTTGTTTTAAATAAAAATTTTATTTAACGCAAGTAAGATTTTTATTTGAACTGCAAATAAAATTAATTTAAAACAATTCAAATTTATTTGGACCAAATAAAATGAGGCCTCAATAAAATTCATTAGAGTTAAGAAAGTTTACTGAAAACAAATATAATTTATTTGTTAAAAAAAATTATATTTGGTTTCAATACATTTTTTTTCTACAATTTATTTTTTTCAAATAAATTATAGATACTTACTTGGTTTTAATAAATTTTCTTTTTTTCTAGTGAATTTTATAATAAAGTTTCTTAATAAAATTCATTTGAGAAAAATAAAATTTATTGGAAGCAAACATAATTTATTTGCTCCAAATAAATTATATTTGGTTCCAGTAAATTTTCTTTTTTTCTAGTGAATTTTATAATAAAGTTTCTTAATAAAATTCATTTAGAAAAAATAAAAGAAAATTTATTGGAACAAAATATAATTTATTTGGAAAATAAACAAATAAATTATATTTGATTACGTAAAATTTTATTTTTTTAAATGAACTTTATTCAGAAACTTTATGAAAAAAAAATTCATTAGAAAAAAGAAAATTTATTCAAATCAAATATAATTTATTTGGAACAAATAAATAGTTTAGTAGGCTCTGAGTCAAATATACCTTTTTTCTGCTTGTATTTTTAAACCAAATTGTGGATAAAATTTCAATTTATTCTGAACTAGCTGTCGTACCCGTCTTCGACGGGTTTTAGTTTCTACCAATACATTTAAGTTTCTACCAATCTGGAAAATCAGGAAATAGCTAGGGAATTTAATTTGACCGGAAAAAAATAATAATTAGTTACCATTATAGCTATTTTAGTAGGAAAATATTACTATTTGAATCAGTGATTGACTTTTTGTTATCAAATTAGTTATTTTAACCAATTCAAATGCAGAGAACAATATTTATCAATTTGTAGTACTTTAATTAATGTATTAAAAAAATTAAATTTTCCATACAGTTTTTGGAGTTATAGTAGAGTCTAATTGGAACTTATTGTATCGCAAGTAGACCCTACGTTACGACTGCTAAAACCTAACATAAGACCTAAATTTTAGGCTGAAAGTAGGGCTTAAATTTTGACTCGGGTCTGTTTTCATAAATATTATACATCAATAAAAATTGAAGTAAAAAGCAATTTTTTAAAAGCGAATTAATATAATGAAACTTTTTCTTAATTTGATAGGAAAATTCCCGGTTCGGCATATTCCCAGCTTTTTACAGTTTTTCCCGTTTGGTAGATACCCAGTTAAATGTATTAGTATAAACAGAAAACTGTACGACAGCAAGTAATACAATCTATATTTATATGAACTTAAGAAACAGTATTTTCATAAAATAAGTAAATTTTTATAGCCATTTGTAGATTTATTTATGGATAAAATCAAGTAAATTTAAATTTGACAAAAAAGAGATAAACCGTGAAAAGTTTGGACAAAGCAGGGAATTTTGTTAAACAAAAATAGACACCGTGTTAACTTTTGTCTTTACATTGCTCAAAACATCTCTTAAAGTTAAATCTAGAGTTAAAATGAAAAAACGTTTTAACATGTAAGTTTTTGCCTAGTGGCATAATATGCTTGTATTGTATCACAGGTGACTTACAATTCTTGACATCCTGCGAAATCATTTTAATCATAAAAAATTTCCATTTTCAATATTTCTGAACTTCTTGAAAATATTAGATTGATTTGATAAATAATTTTGAATTGCACTATTTTGACATCAAAATATTAATCAGAGACTCCAAAAATACTACTGAATTATACTTCATATAGTAATTAGTATCGATTTTTTGATATATTGAAAATTTTTTTATATTTCTTGTAGGATAGTATTTTTTGCAAAATTATGATAAAATCTGACTAAATAACATATAATATTCATTTTTAGAAAGTTTAAAAGCTATCCATTAAAAATTATGAAATTTGGAAATTTTCCATTTTTCAAGTTTTTGAAAATATTTTTATATTTACATCTTAGTTGTAGAATAGTATTTTTTGAAAAATTATGCTAAAATGTGACCAAATAACATGTAATACTCAAATATAGAAAGTTTAAAAGCAATCCATAAAAAAATGTAAAATTTTGAAATTTTCGATTTTTTGAAAACATTTTTATACTTACATATTAGTTATAGGACTTTATTTTTTGCAAAGTTATGCTATAATATGACTAAATAACATATAATACTCAAGTGTATAAACTTCAAAAGCAATCCATGAAAAATAAAAAATTTTGAAATTTTCGATTTTTTGAATTTTTTGAAAAAATTGAATATCTCCCGTTCTAATTAATATTTTTTTAATCTGTAAATTTATAAACCTTCCTTGGGTCAATACCTAATAACCTACCAAGTTGGACTTAAATCGATTCACATGTTTTTGTGTGATTGGGGTACAAAGTTTTTGTGACAGACAAACATACATACATACATACATACATACATACATACATACATACATACATACATACATACATACATACATACATTAAATTTTTTAAGAACATTTTTGGAATCTCTGATGTCCATAATAACTAATCATGTTAACATTTTGAAGTTTTAAGCAATGTACAGACAGACATCTGATTTTATTAATAAGGATAGAAAAAAAATTTTATTTTGCTATACTTCATAAATTAATTATTCAGTTATTCCTTCAATTAATTAACTTGGGTAAAAATTTTTGCAATCTCATAAAAAATGAGGTCTTGTTTTAGTAAATTTTGTAAAATTTCTCGAAAGTTATTCTACAATATTTTTCAAAATATTTTCACGAGGCTAATTTATTTTTAATTAATTAAAATAATTAATTGTTGTGTCAATTTTCAAAAGTTAATAAATCCATTTTCAAAAAACGTGAAGTTTAGCACATTAATTTTAAATTTAAAATTAGTTTTTTATTGTTATTTATTTATTTATTTATTTATTTATTTATTTATTTATTTATTATTGTTATTGCGAATTTATTATTATCATCACTTCAATTTCAATCATCGATAATTTCAACAATTTTTTATCTATTATTGTTATTTTTATTGTTATTATTATTATTATTATTATGCTTAGTATTATTTTTACTATTATGTTTATTATTATTATTTTTATTATTATAACTATTGTTGGTGTTGTTGTTATTTTTTGTTATAATTATAATTGTTGATATTAATATTATTATTATTATTATTTTTATTATTATTATTTATTTTAATATTATTATTTTTATTTAGTATTATTATTTTTAAATATTAATAGAATGTGAACTTCAGAATATTAATCTGTCACTGTTGAATTTAATTAAAAAATTAAATTAACAATAATTTTTTAGTTTATAAAAATTTGGACCCAAAAAAGGTCATTTTTAATTTTCTTCTTTACTGGGAAAAAATTTCCAAATCATTTAAATTCCCTAATTATAATAATTTTTTAATTAAAAGTAAAACGCCTTTAATTTAAAAAAGTTTTTTATAAATAATTTGCTACAATTTTTCTTTCCTCAAATTCTCGAAATAAAAAAAAATACATGGATCTATCAACTTTTGATACTTTTGATTATTCCTCAATTAATTTATTAATTTTTATTATTCTTCTTTTTTATTCAATTATTTTTGATTCGTATTTAATTTATTTTTAGTTAATTAATTTATTTTAATTTATTTATTTTTCAAATATGTTTGAAATGAATTGTTAATTATTAATTAAATTAAATTAATTATTTTTCATTCATATTTAATTTATTTTTGATTCTTAAAATTTCTATTTAAATTTAATTAGGTACTATTCGTACACATTTCATTATTTTTCCTATTTACAATTATTAAGTTAAAAAATTGTTTTCTTTATACTCAGTAAAAAATTTTCGAAAAAGTTTTTTAAAAAAAATTATTTTTACGTACAAAGTTCGCTTTTAAAATTTTCTCTTTAAAAAAAATTGATTAAGAAAAAAAAAATTATGATGGTCATGATTTATGCGCATTGCGTCTACTGTCAAATACTATGGCAATAAATTATCACCATTTCGAGTCGTATTTTAATTTATTGACGAAAAACCGAACACTTTTCTATACTCTTTCTCTCTCGCTTGAAAATCGGAGCGTCAATTATTAGTCGTTTTTTATATTAATTCACCAAACCAAGTGTTCGTTTTTTTTCCAAAAATTTCTTCTTTTTCAAATTTTTAGAAAAAATTTTCAAATTTAAATATTTAATTTTCTAATTTTTTTTAAATAAAAAAAAAAATATTTAAAAAGTTTAAAAATTAAAAAATTAAATATTTAAAAGCAAATGAAATATTTTCAAAAAATTAAAATTCCTTTTTTTCAAAGTAATCAAAAATTCTAAAATAGAAAAATCAACTATGACACGGAATTTTGATTCTTGAGTGGCACTGACTCCTCATTATCATTTTCATTTTCTAATTTTGCTTTTTTCTTATCAATTTCCTCGTCCTCGGGACTATTCCATTTTTGTAAATTCCCAGTGCCAAATATTGCAAATGCAATTGCACCGATAATATAAGTCGCTGAGAGAATATAGAAAATAATTCGCCACTGAGAAAATGTACTGGATTTTTCATTTGTTATAATTCCCACCATATATGTACTCAGGAATCCGCCCAATGAACTTAAAGTATTTGCAATGCCAAATATTGTGCCGGAAAAATTTGGAGCAATATCGAGACCATTACCAAGATATCCGGCAGTTACCGCTCCATTTAGTGTCAAGGCCAATGTGAAAATAGTCACTGATGTCGCTCGATCATTTCCCAAATTTGCTTGTAGTATCATCAAAAGTCCTGGACTCATTACAGCTTTATGGGGGAGAAAGGAAAACAAAAATTATTATTGTAAGGAAATTATTTTTTTTCAATGATAATTTTTCAATTATTGAGAATTAAATTGGAGAAATCGGAGTTTTTATTGGATTTAATATTTTTATTTTTAATTTTATTCCATTTAAATTGCACGCCCAAAAAAAAGATTTATTTTAGAGCCAACTAGACTTTTTATTGGTTCAAATAAATTTTATTTCGTTTAAATGAACTTTATTTGGTTCAAATAATGTTTATTTGGTTCAAAGAAACTTTATTCGGTTCAAATGAACTTTATTTGATTGAAATAAATTTCATTTGGTTCAAAAAAACTTTATTTGGTTCAATGAAATTTTATTTGGTTCAAGTGAACTTTGTTCAATGAAATTTTATTTGGTTCAAGTGAACTTTCTTCAATGAAATTTTATTTGGTTCAAATAAATTTCATTTAGTTCAAAAAAACTTTAATTGGTTCAAATAAAATTGGTTCAAGTAAACTTGTTTCAAATAAATTTTATTTGGTTCAAGTAAACTTTGTTCAAAGAAATTTTATTTAGTTCAAATAAATTTAAATCTTTATTTGGTTGAAATAAATTTCATTTGGTTCAAAAAAAAATTTATTTGGTTGAAATAAATTTCATTTGGTTCAAATAAATTTTATTTAGTTCAAGTCAACTTCGTTCAATGAAATTTTATTTGGTTCAAATAAACTTGGTTCAAATAAATTTTATTTGGTTCAAGTAAACTTTGTTCAAAGAAATTATGATTTGGTTCAAATAAATTAAAATTTTTATTTGGTTGAAATAAATTTCATTCGGTTAAAAAAAAACTTTATTTGGTTCAAGTGAACTTTTTTCAATGAAATTTTATTTGGTTCAAATAAATTTAAATCTTTATTTGGTTCAAAAAGACTTTATTTAGTTGAAATAAAATTGGCTCAAGTAAACTTGGTTCAAATAAATTTTATTTGGTTCAAATAAATTTAAATCTTTATTTGGTTGAAATAAATTTCATTTGGTTCAAAGAAAAACTTTATTTGGTTCAAGTGAACTTTTTTCAATGAAATTTTATTTGATTCAAATGAATTTAAATCTTTATTTGGTTCAAAAAAACTTTATTTGGTACAAATAAAATTGGTTCAAGTAAACTTGGTTCAAATAAATTTGGTTCAAATAAATTTTATTTGGTTCAAAAAAACTTTATTTGGTTCAAATAAAAGTTGTCTTTATGCCGAGAATTTAAAGAAAATGAAAAAAATTAAAATGAAGGGAAAAAAATTAAAAATGAAATAAAAGAAAATAAAGAGATTAATTAAACAATTAAAAAAGAAAAAAGACAAAAAAGGAAGAAATCAAAAAAATTAAGAAGTGAAAAAGATATTAAATAGAATTTTATATTGAAAATAGAGCGTCCAGTAAAAGCGCGTTTAATAAGCAAAAAGCAGTTCAGATGTCTGGCCAATTAAGGACGACGCCTCTCTTTCCTTGGTTTAAATTTGATCAAAGTTGTTGACTAAATGTTATTAAAATGCTTTACACAATTGTTATTAATCTCGAAAACTTCTTTTTTTTTAATGACAGAAAATCAAATATTTTAGAACTATACATGAATTTTAAACTTCTTAGCTATTTTTATTTTTTACAAAATAAATAAATAGCAATAAAATTAAAAAAAAAAAATAATAAATTTAATAGAAATAATAGATTCAAAAATATTCTTACTATATAATAATACTTTTTAATGTATTCTTAAAATAATAATGTATTTTAATATATTCTTAAATTCTAATAATATATTTGAAAAAAGGATAAGAGAGATAGTCAAATGAAAATTATAGTCCAACTCTACATTTTTCTATTTTTTACATTTTTTATTAATCAATTTGCAATCTATAATAAAAAAATGTTTTTGGAAATAAATATTTAATTTATAATTTTTTTAATCAGTTAGAAATTCAGTAAAAGGGGAATTCTACTAAATTAAAATTTAGGTCAAATGGAACTTCTCTTAAATTTTTCTAATTAAATTTTTGTAATGTACAATTAAAAAGATTTGGAATAATTTAAATTTAGTAAAATTTATAATTGAAAATAATTGATTTTTTTCAAGTATTAATATTAAAATTTTTGAAAATCAACTTTTGAAGAAATTTAATTGCAAATTTTGTGAAAATAAAATTGAATTCTCAATCAAATTTAATGAAAAGTTTTCAAGTTTAAATTTATTAATATGAAAATTAATAAAAACTAGGTTCTAAAAAATAATATGAAATTTTTTTTTTTAAAAAGTAATTTCTAGAATTTTTTTTATTATGGATTTTTAAATTTCAATTATTTTCAATATTTTCAAAAATATAATTCCGCAAATTCAAAGACTAGTACAAAAAATAATACAAACATTAAAATTTTTCAGAATTATTTTTAACATTTTGGAGAAAACAATAATTGTGAGAAAATTTTAAATTAAAAGTCTTCAGAAAATAACTTAGTTTTTTTTTAAATTATACAAAAATTCTTTTAAGAAATTCAATTATTTTCGAAAAATTACATTAGAATATTTTTAAAAAACTAATTCTTAAAATTTTTTTAGCATAATTTTTTTAAGATTTACTTATCTTCGAACAAAGTAAAATAAATTTTTAAAAAAATTTACTTCTTTCGATTCTTATTAAAATTTCGGAAAAATAATTTATATTTGTATCATTAAAATTCTTCAAAAATTTGATTATTTATTTTATATTTTTCAAAAATTCAATTATTTCTAAAAGATTTTGTAAAATTTCAATTATTTTTAAACAATTTTACCAAAATTCAATTGTTTTAAAAAGATTTTGTAAAGTTTCAATTATTTTTAAACGATTCTACCAAAATTCAATTGTTTTAAAAATATTTTATCAAATTTCAATTATTTTTAAAAGATTTTGCCAAATTTCAATTATTTATTTATTTTTAAATGATTTTACCAAAATTCAATTGTTTTAAAAAGATTTTATCAAATTTTAAGTATTTTTAAAAGATTTTGCCAAATTTCAATTATTTATTTATTTTTAAACGATTTTACCAAAATTCAATTGTTTTAAAAATATTTTATCAAATTTTAAGTATTTTTAAAAGATTTTGCCAAATTTCAATTATTTATTTATTTTTAAACGATTTTACCAAAATTCAATTGTTTTAAAAAGATTTTATCAAATTTTAAGTATTTTTAAATGATTTTGCCAAATTTCAATTATTTTTAAAAGATTTTGCCAAATTTCAATTATTTATTTATTTTTAAACGATTTTACCAAAATTCAATTGTTTTAAAAAGATTTTATCAAATTTTAAGTATTTTTAAATGATTTTGACAAATTTCAATTATTTTTAAAAGATTTTGTCAAATTTCAATTATTTATTTACTTTTAAACGATTTTACCAAAATTCAATTGTTTTAAAAAGATTTTATCAAATTTCAATTATTTTTAAAAGATTTTACCAAAATTCAATTGTTTGGAAATTTTTTAATGGTAATAATTGAAAGACGATTATCTTTAAAAAATTATTTCTAAATATTTTTAAAAGAATAATTTTAAGAGTTTCTTTATTATAATTTTTTAAAAATATTATTAACTTTAAAAAAAACATGTACAATAATTACAGTTACAAGATAAAATTTTTGTTGCAACACTGAATTAAATAAACGACTTTTTCGACTTTTTTTGTACTTTTAATCGACTAAAGCGACTTTTTTTGTGTCTTATGGTCGATCCGAGGCCTGGTAAAATTATAATTCGGTTTTATAAAAATTAAACTAATTAAAAAATTCAAAAATTAAAATACACTGAAATTCAGTAAAATGAGAATTTTGCTAAATGAAAATTAGATTAAATAAACAAATGAGAATTCAGCTTAATAAAATTTATGTCAATTAGTTATTCTTTCAATTAAGAATTCCGCCGAGTAAAGTTTAGGTCAAATAGAATTTATAAATTAAAAATAGTTTAAATATTTTGTTCAATGAAAATTCTGCTAAATAAAAATTAGGTCAAATAGTTATTTTGCCTAATGAGAAATATACTGAAGAAAAATTAGATCAAATAGGAAATTATTTATTATTTATTAAATAATTTATTAATTTTATTAATTATTTATTAATTTTATTAATTATTAATTTATGAACTGTCCGATTTCTCCAAAAAAGCTCTTTTTATAAAATTTTCAAGAACATATTTTTTGAAAATGAGTAAAACTCACCAAAAGTTGTGAAGGCCTTTCGGATAAAAGTCACTGAGTATCTATTAGTTTGTCGCAAATAGTCGGCAAGTGTTGACATCGCCAGAGCGAACAGATATTTTCCCAAATATGGCAATGAGGAAAGGAGTCCGTTCTGTAGAAAATAGAAAATCATTATAAACTATAAATTTCACTTATATTGTTAATTTATTGTTGTTAACATTCATTTAGTTTAAGAAAATTTATTTCTATTTCATTTATTTTAATTTAGTTCAGTTTCATTCTATTTACTTTATTTTTATTTAATTTCGTTTAAGATTAAACTAAAATTAAGATTAAAATCTGATCTAGTAGAATTTTACTAACAAATAGTAAAATTTTACTAATTTTTTTTCTTTTATTTCACTAATGAAAATAATTTAATTTACATATAGTTTATTTTAATTTGGTTTAGCTTTGTTTAATTTAATTTCGTTTAGTTTTGTTTAATTTAGTTTTAGATTAGTTTATTTAATTTTCGCTTAGTTTAGTTAACTTTAAATTTTCTATTTATTTCTTTTTGAATAAATTACTAATTTCTATCTCTAATACAAAAAATAAATAAATAAAAAATACAAAACAAGTTACATGTGCAGCATTAAATTAAAAAAAAGTATAATTAACATAAAAACAACTTTTATGTTTCATATGTAACGAAAATTTAATACTAACCATTAAAAAAAAAAGAAAATAATAATTAAACATTATTAAAAATTATACGTTTCACTTGAAAAACAATTTTTATTTTTAAATCATGATTCTGCGAAGTATATTATAAAAAAGAAAAATGAGGAGGAAAAAAAAATGAAAATAAATAAATGCTTGCGAGTATGGTTGTATGAAAATTACGACTTCGAAGTAAAGAGATGTAGTATTCTTGAGAATTATAGTACCTCTTTAATGTTGAAATGTAAAATATTCTTCATGTAGGTCGGTAATTGGTTTACAACTGTGAAATAACCAAAGACACTACAGGCGTGAGTAATAACAATTGCCCAGACTGGAGCTGATGTTACAATTGCTTTCCATGGCACTGCATGATGCTGTCAAATAAAAATTAATCGTTTTTTTTTATTTTAAATGAAAAAAATTTCTCAGATTGAGGAAACAATCAATTTCATCAAGGCAGCGAGATTTCTTTGAATTTTTTTTATTATTAGTGTGATGATTTTATTGGGGCTTTACGAGAATCTTTATTTATTTAGTTAATTAGGGATTTTTTTAACTGACGGTAGTTTGTGACTGATTTTTGTAATTTCAATTGACGGTAGTAATAAATAAATTTTAATTTAAAAAAATTTTTTTTTTTCAATTTTTAATTTTTTTTTTAAATATTTTTAATTCCAATTGTCGGTAGTTAGCAACTAATATATTTAATTTCAACTGACGGTAGTTAGTAACTGACATTTTTACTTTTAACTACTGGTAGTCAGAAATTAATACTTTTAAGTTTTTAACTTCAACTGACGGTAGTCAGAAACTGTAATATTTATAATTTCAATTGATGGCAGTCAAAAATTATAATTTTAAATTTCAACTGTCAGCAGTTCAAATAAACATTTACTTATTATTATTTGTCCCCAGGAATTAAGATTTTTACAAAATTTCAAATTAAAACCTTTTAAAATTCAATAATTTATTACAATTTTATAAAAATATTGTTACTGTAACTTCTTCAAAATTATTTTCATCATTTCAATTCAATTATTATTTTCCACAATTTTTAACTACAATTCTTCCTTAAATCAATTATTTTTAATAATTTTTGAAAAAGTTCTTTTTGAGAATTTTCAAATTCATTGTTTACAATTTAATTTTACGAAATTTCGATTATTCTCATTAAAGAATTTTATCAACGAATTTTTTAATAATTGAATTTTTTCGACGAATTTTAATAAAATTTGTAAGAACTAAGAATAATTAGATTTTTCGAGGAATTCGATTAAAATTGTATAAAAAGTAATTGAAATTCTGCGACGAAAATATTTAAATGTTTGCTGAAAATTTAACATTAAAAATTTTTTTTAAATAAATCCTTTTGGAAAATTTTATTGAAAATCATTGAATTGAGAAATAATTTTTGAAACTAATTGAAATTTTTACAAGAATTTTATTAAACTTTTTGAAAATAATTGAATTTTGAAGAAGAACTTTTTATTTATGAGAATAAGTAATTGAATTCATACAAATTATTTTCTACGAATTTAATTAAAATTTTATTAAAATTTCATTTAAAGTTATAAAAATTCTTTTAAATAATTGAATTTATCTAAAGTATTTTATTATTTACGAAAATAATTGAATCACTGTAAAAAATTTTATTATTTATGAAAATAATTGAATTATTACGAAGAATTTTTTTTAAAAAATTGTAAATAATTGAATTACTGTGAAATTTTTATTTATTTATGAAAATATTTAAACGTTTGCAGAGAATTTAACATTAAAAATTTTTTTAAATTGAATTTTTAAACAAAAAACATTATTAAAATAATAAATATATTGAAAATCATTGAATTGAGAAATAATTTTTAAAAATAATTAAAATTTTGACATGAATTTTATTAAACTATTTGAAAATAATTGAATTTCGGAGAAGAATTTTTTTTGTATGATTTTTATGTATTTCTTATATAGAATTTTATTAAAATTACATTGAAAAATTTGAATTCCCGCGAAAATTTTTATTAAAATTCTACATTTAATGAATTCGAATTCAAGGAAAAAATTTATTTGAATAGTAGATTTTGAAAATAATTGAATTGAGAAACATTTTTAAAAACAATTGAATCGTTTCTAAGAATTTTTTAAAAAATTTGTTTAAAAGAAAAATTTATTTATTTCAACTTTTAGCGAATTTTATATTTTTTTATAGTCTTAACCCTTTTTAGTCACGCATTTTTCTTTTTACTAAATTTCCTTTAAACTCGTTATATTACAGGGTTTTTAAGATCACTGAATATAAATTTGTGGTCAGTTTTCGAAAATTCAAAATGGCGGATATAATATGGCGGTCATGAAAATTAAAAAACGACTGAACTTTCTCAAAAAAAAATTAATTCCACAGAATTGTTAGTTAAAAATATGAAAATTAAAATTTTTTTTAAATTTTAATTTAAAATCTTTTAAAAATTCAATTATTACTAAAAATTCACGCTCCAATGCTTTTAATATTCAATTATAATCTAACATTTTAATTAAAATCCATTTTTAAATCAATTTTTATTAGAAAATTCTCAATTTTAAATACAAAAATAAATAGTCTATTGAATAATTAAATGTTTCTTAGAATTGAATTCTCATAAAGAATTGTATCAATAAATTTTTAAATAATTAAATTCTTTTGACGAATTATAATAAAATTGTATTAAAAATAATTGAATTCCTATAGAGAATTTTATTATTTATTAAAATAATTGAATTTTTGTAAAAATTTTATTATTTATGAAAAATAATTGAATAATTGCGAAGAAATTTATAAAAAATTTGTAAATAATTAAATTCCTGTGAAATTTTTATTATTTTATGAAAATAATTAAAGGTTTGCGTAGAATTTTATTAATTTTTTTTTTTTTAATCCTAATTGAATTCTTTTGGAAAAATGTATTAAAATAGTATAGATATTAAAAATCATTGAATTGAGAAAAAATTTTGAAAATAATTGAAATTTTGCTAAGAATTTTATTAAAATTTTTGTAAATAATTGAATTTCGGAGAAGAATTTAATTATTTTAAAAAATAATTGAAATTTTGACGAGAATTTAAAAAAATTTTTGAAAATAATTGAATTTCTGGGAAGCATTTTATTACTTTTGAAAATAATTGAATTCCTTAAAAAATGTTATTATTTATGAAAATAATTGAATTCCTTGTAAAATTTTTATTATTTTATAGAAATAATTAAAGGTTTGCGTAGAATTTTACTAATTTTTTTTTTAAATAATTGAATTCTTTTGGAAAATTTTATTAAAATAGTATCGATATTAAAAATCATTGAATTGAGGAAAGATTTTTGAAAATAATTAAAATTTTGACAAAAATTTTATTAAAATTTTTGTGAATAATTGAATTTTGGAGAAGAATTTAATTATTTCTAAAGATAATTGAAATTTTGACAAGAATTTTTATAAAATTTTTGAACATAATTGAATTTCTGGGAAGTATTTTATTACTTCTGAAAATAATTGAATTCCTGTGAAATTTTTATTATTTTATAAAAATAATTAAAGGTTTGAATAGTATTTTACTAATTTTTTTTTTAAATAATTGAATTCTTTTGGAAATTTTTTTTAAAATAGTATAAATATTAAAAATCATTGAATTGAGGAGAATTTTTTTAAAATAATTGAATTTTGACAAGAATTTTATTAAAATGTTTGAAAATAATTAAATTTCGGAGAAGAATAATTTAATTATTTTTAAAGATAATTGAAATTTTGTCAAGAATTTAAAAAAATTTTTGAACACAATTGAATTTCTGCGATGAATTTTATTGCTTTTGAAATTAATTGAATTTCTGCAATCATTTGTATTTTCTTTAAAATTCTCCAAATTATATTGTACAATTTACGAACTTTTCGTCTTTTCTCAATCAAATTACGGACTTTGCAGATCTTTTTTGAATAAAAAAACGGACTTTTACGGATTTGAAGCAAATTTGCGGACTTTTACGGGCTTTACGGACCTAGTTCGAGTTCTGACTGAATATGAATCTGTGATTATTTTTAAAAAATTCAAAATGTCCGATTCAATATGGCGGACATGAAAATTAAAAATCGACTGAATTCGCTTGAAAATAGTAACTCAGAGGTTTCTTGGGTCGCTGAATTCAAATTTAAGGTCAGTTTTTAAAAATCCAAAATGGCGGATCCAATATGGGGAACAAAAAAAGAATTTTTCAAATCGAATAACCTAAATAAAAATAAATTTAGAAAAAAGGAAACTTAACCTTTTTATTCGAGGTATTTCCAATAGCTTCCTCAATGAATCGTCTCTCACTGTCCGAAATTCTCGGATGCTGTGCCGGCGAGTCGAAAACAAGGAAAAACCACGTGAGACTCCAGACAAATCCAATTCCTCCAGTAACATAGAAAACAGATTGCCAGCCCAGGGATGCAATGAGATATCCACAAATTGGCATTGTAATCGCAGCACCAAGGGAGGAAGCTGTGAAAAAAGGTGTGTCTTTATAATATTTACTACAACCTTGAATAAAAGAGAGAGAGAGATAGAAAAAAACTTTTAACTGCAGCGAAAACCTGAACAATTTGCCATTTGTATTGCATGGGTGCGGGTTTATTTGTAACGGTGTCTTATACACTCCTTCGCCAGAGCGCACTTTATTACGATCCTCAACATTCATTAAGAATTTCATACCATATTTCAATCTTTGGCGAAATAAAAAAAAAAATTGAAAAACATATCAAGAAACTGTCCCTGACATGAATTTTTACCTTCCAACACTACAATTTAGCCTCATTAAAATATCTCTCCAACTACCTTTCAATCATTTTTTGAATAATTCCAACAATTCGTACAGACAGTATAAATTAGAAATGATAAAGGAGATAATAAAACCAGAAGCTGAATATATATTTAATATTATATACTGATTCGTATTCAATCAACTATAATTAAATAAACCCATGACTAAATCATTTATGTACTTGAATGATTTATAGTCAAATAATGTGTTTCTTTTTTTATTGCTATAATGTACTATACAAACTATACGTGATTAGTTTAGAGAAAATTGTTCTCTTTTCTTCAAGGTAAAAGAGAACTTGGGGGGAAAAAAGGAAAAAACTTGCGGTCTTTCCGAAAAGAGAAAAAAAAACACACGTGGATATGATTTATTTATCGATTTAGTATAATTATTATAAAACTAGCAACAATTCGCGCTCTAAAGCGTGGTGCTAACTTTTTACCTCATTTTTTAAATAAAATTATCAATTAACTAATTATCAATTAATTATTAAATTATTAATTAATTATCAATTTTAAAAATAATAGAATTTAAAAATTTTAAATTCAAATTTTTCTTGAAAACACTAAAATAATTCAATTTTGGAAAAATTGCAAATAATTTATTGCAGAAATTCAATTATTTTCAAAAGTAATAAAATTCTTCTCATAAAATTCAATTATGTTTAAAATTTAAAAAAAAAATTCTCGTCAAAATCTCAATTCTCTTTGTAAATAACAAAATTTTTACCCAAAGTTCAATTATTTTCAAAAACGACAATAAAATTCTTGTTCTAATTTCAATTATTTTCAATATCTACTATTTTAATAAAATTATCTCGAGAAAAATTCATATTAAAAAAAAAATTTAATAAAATCGTACACAAACATATTATTATTGTCAAAAATATTAAAAATTCCACAGGAATTCAATTATTTTCGTAAATTTTTAGTTCTTATAAATTATTATAAAACATGAAATAATTGATCACTCCGAGTCTTCGACTCGGAGCAATCAATATCTTCATGTTTTATAGCAAAATACTTTTATAAGTTGTTTAATTTCAAAAAGGGTTGAATTTGGAATTTTTGAGTGTCTTAATTCCTGTGGAAAAATAATAATAATTAAATATTTATTTAAAAAAGAAATTATTGGTGTTTTTGAATAATTTTACAATTAAAGAAATTCGTAAAAAATGTAACGGAACATTTTTTTTTATGAAAATTTTTCCCTTTATTTTCTAAAAATTCAAAAATTTTCATTTTCAATAAAATCGACATTTAAAAGAATTTTAATTTCATAATGAAAAAATAATTGAATTTTACATACAATTTAACAAAAAATTGAATTCCCAAAGTATTTTAATTAAATAATAAAAGAAAAATTAAAATCTTCCAAAAATTTTTTCTGAAAAATTTATTTTTCAATGAATTTTCATTTAATAATTAAAAAATAATTGAATTTTAGAAAAAAATGTTCAATAAAATCGACTTTTGAAAGCATTTTAATTTAATAATTTAAAAAAATTGAATTTTACAAACAATTTTACATGAAATCGATTTTTTAAAGAATTTTAATTTTATAAATTGAAAAGAAATTGAATTTTTTAAGGATTTTCCAAAAAAATTGTGTTTTGAGAGAATTTTAAATATATAATTGAAAAATAATTGAATTTAACGAATAATTTTCTTAAAAAATTGATTTTCTGAAGAATTTTAATTTAATAGTTGAGAAATAATTGAAATATTCCAAAAACTTCTTTTGAAAAATTTATTTTTCAAAGAATTTTAATCCCAAAAAGTCGATTTTTTGAAGAATTTTAATTTAATAGTTGAGAAATAATTGAAATTTCCTAAAATTAATTTCAAAAAGGTTTGAATTTGGAATTTTTGAATGTCTTAACTCCTGTGTGAAAAAATAATAATAATTAAATATTTATTTAAAAAAGAAATTATTGATGTTTTTGAATAATTATATAATTAAAGAAATTCGTAAAAATGTAACGGAACATTTTTTTTTAGTAAAAGTTTTTCCTTTATTTTCGAAAAATTCAAAAATTTTCATTTCGAATGAAAATTTGTAATTGACAAATCAAATTTATAAACATTTGTTTCGTTTATTTTAAAAAAAAAAAACTGAATTTTATTAAAATAATTGTAATTAAAAAATTGAAATAATGTAAATTATTACCTTATAAAAATGGAAAATTTTCTACAAAAATATTAAGGAACGGAAATATGTAATGTTTTTTTTCCGAAATAAAAGAATGATATTGTTATTGAGAAATAAAAATTATGCATAAAATAGGTATTTATTTACTATTTCTTAATCATAATTTTTTAACAAATTTTCTAATAAAAATTTTTTTTTTTTTCTAATTTCTAATATTATTTTATTATGAATCATGAAAAAATACCTGCATATTTTCGATTTGTCAAAACAAATTTTTTTTAAAGAAAAGAAACAAAAGAATACACAAAAACTAACTTCAGGTGTGGACAGAATGAAAGAATGAATAAGACGATTATTATAGTTAATACCAAAGTTTAGTGATTGTATTTTGTATATAAGGAGTTAATTATCTTGAAAATTATGGCATTGCAATAATTGATCATCGAACAAAGTTAACATTTAGTGGAATTTTTGCTGCTGATATGTACGTGAGTGTATGATAATTTAATTTATGCTCACCCATCATGTTCGATACGAATTTACTGCGCTCATTTGGCGGAATCCAAACAGCGGTCATTGGATGAATTGCTGGCCACGTGGCTCCCTAGAATTTCATTCAAATCGAATTAGTTTTAATTGTTTTAATTTTTTTTTTAATTTAAAAAATTTTTTTAATTGTTTTCAATCACATTTTGATAAATTGTTTCTTTTTCTAATTTTTTTCTCAATAAGAAAGAATTTTTATCCACTATTAAAAAGCAGATTTTTTTTTTTTGCTGATAAAATCAAAGAAAAAAATACTCTTTCTCTATCATACTAAAACCTAAATTTTTGGGAATTTCTGTGTATCTTTGTATCGTAATTTTCACTATTTTTCATAGTAAGTTTTTTTATTTCTGAATAAGTAAATTTTACTAATAAAACTTAGTAAAATTTGCTTAGAATATTTTAGGTTTATTTCTAATGCAGTGACACCTATCGGAATTTTGTAATAATAATGAATTTATACAATAAAGAATATTACCTATACAATACAATTTTATTAATTTTTTTAAAAATAATTGAATTTCCAAGAAAAAATTTATAACTTTTAAAAATAATTGAATTCTTGTGATGAATATTGTTATTTATGAAAATAATTGAATTTCACAATGAATTTTATTAATTTTGAAAATAATTGAATTCTTGTGATAAATATATTGTTATTTATGAAAATAATTGAATTTTGCAAAGAATTTTATTAAAATGACTCAAAATAATTGAATTTTCGGGAGTAATTTTGTTATTTGTTAACAGAATTGAATTCTTTCGAAGAATTATTTATGTAAATAATTAAATTATTTCAAAGAATCATAAAAAAACATTTTTTAAAATAATTGATTTTTTCAAGAAATCGAAATTAAATTTTTAAGAGTAATTACATTTTTTGAGCCATACCTGCAAAATTGTATTAAGAATAATTGAAATTCTGTGATGAATTTTATTCTTTATGAGAATAATTGAATAGTTGCTAAGAATTTTATTAAAATTTTCAAAAATATTTGAATTCTTGAGAAACATTTTATTATTTATAATAACAATTGAATTATTGTAAAAAATTTTATTGAAATGTTTAAAAAGAATTGAATTTCTGTAAAAAGTTTTGTTATTTTTTAAAATAATTGAATTTTCGAAAGAATTTTTTTGAAATGCCTTCAAAATAATTGAATTTTTGGGAATAATTTTGTTATTTATCGACATAATTGAATTCGTTCGAAAAATTATTTATGTAAATAACTAAATTCTTGGTAAGAATTTTATTTAATTCTAAAAGAATAATTGATTTTTTCAAAAAAAAATTAAATTAAAATTTTATCTAAAATAATTGATTTCTCTCGAACAATTTTATTAAAATATTTGAAAATAATTGAATTCCTGTGAAAAATTCTAATATATTTGTAAATAATTGTATTCTTCCAAGGAATTTAAAAAGAATATTTTTTTAAATAATTGATTTTTTCGAGGAATTATATTAAATTTTTAATAATAATGACATTCATATAATCAATTCGTGTAAAATTGTATTAAAAATAATTGAAATCCTGCGCTGAATTTTTTTCTTTATGAAAATAATTGAATAGTTGCTAAGAATTTTATTAAAATTTTCAAAAATAATTGAATTCCTGAGAAGAATTTTATTATTTATGAAAATTATTGAATGGTTGCAAAGAATTTTATAAACATTGTTTTTAATAATTAATTTCTCCGAAATATAATAAATATTATGATAAAATTTTATTTTAAATAATTGAATTCTCGTGGAAAACTTTATTTGTGAAAATAATTGAATTTCTCTATTAATTAATAAAAAATAGCATTAAAAATAATGGAAATTCTTCGATGATTTTTTTTTATTTTTGAAAATAATTGAATTCTGGCTTAGAATTTTATCAAAAATTTATTTATAAAATGAAATTTCTGTAAAAAATGTTATTATTTGTAAAAAAAAATTGAATTTTTGCAAAGAATTTTATTTAAATTTCTGAAAATCTTACCTATTTAAATTCTTTTAAAGAATTAAAAAAATTTTTTCTAAATAATAAAGTTTTTTTTATGTTTTTAATTTAAAATTTTAAAAGTAATTAATTTTTTGAAGAATTTTTTAAAAAGTTTTTAAATAATCGTGTTTGTTAATAATTTGAGTTAAACATTTTTATTCGAGGGATTTTTGTAAAGTATTGAAAACAATCAGCTAAAGTAAAAATAAAAATCTATCAAATGAAAATTGAAAATAAAAATCTGTTAAAGGGAAAGTCAAAGTAAAAGTAGAAATGAAATTACATAATCAACCCCCAGGTTTTACTGAAGTAGATAGTAAAATTTACTACGTAGTAAAAGCAAAAATTTTGGATTTAGTTTAGTAAAATTTACAATAGTTAAAATTAAGAAATGTAATTACCAAAAAGAACCCTAAGAGAACTCGTAAGGCAGCGACGAAGGAGAATCCTAGTGAAGCCGCGACCGGTGTCAATAGTGTAATTAAACTAGAAAATAGCATACTGTATCCAAAAACTCTTCTGGTACCAAAGAGTTCCGCCATTCTGCCACCTGGCACTTCAGTCAAAATATAACCCGCGAAAAAACTACCGAATATCCAATTTTGCTCGTATTCGTTCCAATGATACTTTGTCTGTTCTCTTCCTTCCTGAAAATTACAGAATTACTAAATTACAAAACTGCAAAATTACAAAATTGCAAAATTACAAAATATTGCAAAAAAAACAATTTTGTTTCTTGTATTGAGGAAACCAATTTTTTATTATTTTCTTTACATTTTGACATTTTTTCAGAAACAGAAATAAAAAAAATTTGTATTTTGAAAAAGAATATTTAGATCGGTGTTGAGAGAAAAATAGAATTTTATGCTTACAGAGAAGGAAATATACACTTACTAATTGAGAAGGAACCTCGTGAGTAGAATTAATTTTTGGAATGTTTCCAGTATTATTGAGTGAATAAATATTTTCTATCGTTGAATTGGAATGTGATTTACTAGTATTAGGATAAACCATGGCGACCATGGCAATTGTCAAATTTACTCGAAGCATGTAGTTTATCATGAATCCAAATATCACCATAATATTCAGGACCTGACGACATGATAGTCCACCTGGAACAAAAAAAAGAATGCAATTTAATTCAATGTTTTTATATCAATTCTTTTTTACACAATCCAGTCACAAAAAATCTTAATTAATGTAGAAAATATGCTTTTTATTAAAAAAAAAAATAATTTCGGTATATATAGCCCCTGGTCAATAAAGTGACCATTATTCCCCTAGGGTAATAATGAGTGATCATTATTGTCCTATATTAATAACAGGCTTCGCACTAATCTACTAAAATTTACTAATACTAGAAATCAAAAAACTGTTCTCAAAAATTATAATCAAATTCTTTAAAACGATTCAATTATTTTCGAAAAATATTCGAAATTCAATTATTTTCAATATCGAGTATTTTCAAAAAAATTTCGCAAAAGAATTCAATTATTAAAAAAAAAAATTCATAAAATGTATCCAAAATTTAATTATTCTCATAAATAATAAAATTTTCACAGGAATTCAATTAATTTACAATAGCATTTTCAAAAAAAATTTCGAAAAAATCAATTATTTAACAAAATTTCTATACAATTCTTCATAATTCAATTACTTTCACTAATAATAACATTTTTCATGGAAATTCAATTTTTTAAATAAATTTTTGATACAATTCTAATCAAGAATTCAATTATTTTCATAAATAATAAAACTCATCGAAGAATTTCAATTATTTTTAATACTATTTAAAATTAATTAATCGAAAAATTCAATTATTTTCACAAATAAAGTTTTCCACAAGAAATCAATTATTTAAACTAAAAATTTCATAATATTTGTTATATTTCGAAAAAATTAATTATTTTAAAACAATTTTATTAGTTTTAAGGTCAGTATATAATAGTAATTTTTGTTTGTTTGACCGTATTAATTAATTTGTAGAGTAATGAGACAAGGCCTAAATTTTATAAACAATGTTTATAAAATTCTTATAAAGAATTCAATTATTTTCAAAAATAACAAAAAATTTTTATAGAAATTCAATTCTTTTTAAAAATTTTAATTAAATTTTTCGCAATAATTCAATTAATTTTATAAATAATAAAATTCCTCTCAGAAATTTAATTATTTTCGAAAGTTTTAAAAAATTTTACTCAACAACTATTCAATTATTTTCAAAAATAATAAAATTCATCGCAGGATTTCCATTATTTTTAATACAATTTTACAGGATTTGCTCAAAAATGTAATTATTATTGTTAAAAATTTAATTTCGATTCCTTAAAAAAATCAATTATTTAAAAAAAATGTTTTTCTAAAATTCTTTGGAAGAATTCAATTATTTACAAAAGTATTAGAATTTTTACAGAAATCCAATTATTTTCAAGTATTTGAAAAAAATTGTTCGAAAGAAATGCATTTTTTGAAATACAATTTTAATTAAATTTTTTTGAAATCATTCAAAAAGAATGATTTAGATTCTTCTAGATTCTAATAAAATTCTTCCTAAGAATTCAATTATTTTCATGAATAATTCTTCGAAAGAATTCAATTATTAAAGATAAGTAACAAAATTATTTCTGAAAATTCACTACTTTTGGGGTATTTTAATAAAATTGTTTGCAAAATTCAATTAATTTGAAAGTTAAAAAATTTGTTTACTGAAATTTAATTAATTAATGAATTAATTAATTAATTTTAATAAAATTTTTTTCAAATTTCAATTATTCTCAAAAATAACAAAAAGTTTACAGAAATTCTGTTTAAATGTTTTAATAAAATTTTTCGCTATAATTAAATTATTTTCATAAAAAATAAAATTTAAAAAAACCATTTATTTAAAAAAAAATTGTTTTCAAATTCTTTGAAAGAATTCATTATTTTCAAGTACTTTAATAAAAATAAAAGAAAAGAATCAATTATTTAAAATACAATTTTAATTAAATTTTTTTGAAATAATTCAATTATTCTTTTAGATTTTAATAAAATTCTTCCCAAGAATTTAATTATTTACATAAATAATTCTTTGAAAGAATTCAATTATAAAATAACAAAATTATTCCCGAAAATTCAATTATTTTCAGGCATTTTAATAAAATTTTTGCAAAATTCAAATATTTTCATAAATAACAATATTCATCACAAGAACTCAATTATTTTTAAAAGTAATAAATTTCTTCTTGAAAATTTAATTTTATAAAAAAATTCTTAAAAAAAACGTTCTTAAGAATTCAATTATTTTAATAAATAATAAAATGCTTTTTCGAAATTCAATTATTTTCAAAAAAATTTAGTAAATACCACACAGACATTCAATTATTTTCAAAAATTTTTATTCAATTATTTTTAAAACTATTTTTATAAAATTTCCCAAACAGGATTCAATTATATTTAAAAATTTTTTTTTAAATTTTCTTAAGAATTCAATTCTTTTAATGAATAATAAAAATTTCTCAGGAATTCAATTATTGAAATTAGAATTTGCATAAAATTAGTCGAAAGAAATGAAGTAGTTAAAAAATTTAATAAAATTCTTCGCAAGAATTAAATTATTTTTATAAATATTTAAATTCTTTCATGAATTATAAAGTTCGTTGCAAGAATTCAATTTATTAGCAGTAGGATAAGAAAGAAGTAAATATTTTTTTATGAAAATTAGGAAAAAGTCAGAAAAATAAAAAATATGGAATGTAAGTTTTGTTAGTTTTGTGAAGTGTCTAAAACGAGTTTTTTTGATTTTTTGCCCTATGGTAATAATGAGTGGCCATTATTGCCCTAGGATAATAATGAGTAACTATTATTGACCTAGGGTAGTGATAAGTACTTTATTATTAACCACTGAGCAAGGTCAATAAAGTGACTATTATTGACCTAGGGAAATAATTAAGTACTTCATTGAAACTGAGCTTTTTATTATAGAAGTAAACAAGTGATTTCATAAAATTAATTCCTCCTTTGCTCATGAAAATCTTGTCCTATAAGTAAAATGATCTTTAGAATAAAAAAATCAAGTAATTTCATAAAAATTAGTACACTCCTATTTTTACTGATAGTAGTTATAAACAAAAATGATAAAAAAACGATTCTGTAGTCACAACTGAGCATAAAATCAAGATCAAGTCATTTGCAATTTACAACTTGGAATCAATTCAATTAATTATAGTTACAACTATTAATAATAATTGATTCAACTGTCAGTGATTGTCATAGCAGTAGCAACCTGATGATTACAACAACTGATGACAGATTTAAATAATAAATAGACCACACGATAGTTTATAATTTTATAGAAATTACAAATTTTTTTTTCTAATCTCATAAAAACAGTTTTGCTTTTTATAAAAATAAAAAAAGTGACGAAAGAATATTTCTTCAACAGTATTATTTCAAATTAATTATAGATAAATAATTCATAGCAAGCACAATATTTATCTTATTTCAAAAGAATTTAGCAAGCATATAGAGGGAAATAAATATTTTCGATAAAATTCTGTGTTGTAATTATTATTATGCAACATGGAGAAAAATATTTATGGTTTTTTTAATATTTCTAATAGTCTCGTTTAATTTTTTTAACACTCTTTTATAATTAATAATTAATAATAATTAATAATACTTGGAATCGATTATACACGGCAGATTCTTTACGTAGCAGAGGAAAAGATTATTTTCTTTGAATTTCTATTTCGTACTTTTTTTTAAAACTATTTTAATTCTAACATTTCTTTTATTTTCGAGTGAAGTATTTTTAAAAAATTTTATAATATTTTCAAATTTTTTTAAAATATTAAAAAATAATGTTTCAATGTATTTCAATGTTAAAAAATCGAAAATATTTAGAAATAGTTTATTTTCATTTAGATCAGAAAATAACTAATTATTAATTATTGAAAAAAATGAAATAGAAATTAAAGGAGAGAAAAAAATGCAGTGGAAAATTTTTTTTTATTTGAAATTTCTTTCATTTCTCACTATACCTTTTTTAATCTTTTGAAACTATATTACTCTTTTTGTTTTTGAACTTTGGATGGTACGATGTAATTAATTATCAAGCATTGAAGAATATCTAATAGACCCGGGTCAATCTTGTTCGCCCTCGGAATCAAAATCTTTATCATTAATGTCTCGATTATAGACACTAATTTTCATTTTATAAATTCAATCTTGAATTATCATTAAGAAATTAAAAGGTTATTGCTTTCGATCGATTTTAATAATCACAAAATAAGGATAATTCCACTGAATTTTTTATTCATAATTTTTCTGCTTTGTTTATATCATTAATTTTTTTCTGATATTAAGGAAAGTTTATTATGCAACGAAAATTTAATAGCGTTGAAAATTTAATTGAAAAATTTCAATTTATTCTACATGAATGATTTTTGGTTCCGGTAATTGTGGGTAATAATATTTAATTATTATTTCAAACAAATTTTTTTCTCCTTCTTTTCTCGAAAGTATTTTTTAATTTGTATTTTCGAATTATTTGAGAAAAACCTAATGAATCACAGGCTTTGCACTTAACTACTAAAACCTACTATTTACTACTTTTTTACGTTATGATAATATTTGGGTACTTTATTAGATTTTAGCCACTAAAAGCTACTATTTTCTGTTTTTTTTTTTAGAATTTACACTACTTGAAATTCGCTAATACAAGAAATCAAAAAACTATTCGAAAAAATTATAATCAAATTTTTTAAAACGATTCAATTATTTTCAAAAAATATTCGAAATTCTATTTTCAATATCTAGTATTTTCATAAAATTTAGCAAAAGAATTGAATTGTTTAAAAAAAAATTGATAAAATTCATCCAAAATTCAATTATTTTCATAAATAACAAAACTCATTAAAGAAATTTCAATTATTTTTAATACTATTTTAAATTAATTACTCGAAAAATTCAATTATTTACACAAATAAAATTTTCATAATATTTATTATATTTCGGTAAAATTAATTATTTAAAACAATGTTTATAAAATTCTTATAAAGAATTCAATTATTTTCAAAAATAACAAAAAATTTTTCACAAAAATTCAATTCTTTTTAAACATTTCAATAAA